CCGACACATAAGGGCGGCGGTCCGAGCTCGGCTTCCTCCGAACGCCTGCAAGTGACTTCCCCGCGCCCCGCGTTTCGGCTCGCAGCGCTGTCCCGGCAGAGCGGGATTTCGGTTACTCGCAGTCCCGTTTTCAACAGGCCACAGCAGCTCTCAGTTTACAGAGAAGTTCAAAACGCTAGCAGCAGCACTGAGGCTGCCTTCACTCAAACCTCACAGCTCTGCCTCAGGAGCACCACCGCGGGGAACCCTCCGTCCTCAGCTCCTTCCCTCCTCAAACTCTAGCACTATGTAAGGCCCCGAGGCATCACACAGCACATTCAGTGCCCTGTTACATCATCCTCTGCTGTCAAATAGAGAAGACAGTTGAAAAAACATAATTTAAGAGGATTACAGAAAGAGATTTGTGGCCAGAAACAGCTTAACTCAAATGTCTGATAAAATATTAAACATACAGTGTACAAAATTAACATGTTCATTTTAAATCATGAACATACCTAAGTGAGTGTTACAGAGCAGTGGAAGAGACAATGCAACAGTCATCAGATGCCTGTTTCCAGGAATGCACTACTCCAACATTGGCTGAAACATTCCTTTTTGAGGCAAAAGGCTTTAGTTTTCTAAGAAGTAAAAAAGTATAAAAAGCTTTTTAATTTAGTGGAAATACTTTTTACATAGCCAATGTCAAAACATGAGAACGAACATTTAAACACTAACCAGACACATCACATCAAGACGTTCTGAAGGAGAAGACATAACAATAGGTTTAATTTTAGCAGTTCTTTAATGGTGTCAGATAGGAAACAATCTATTCTTGCATCTTTTCAATTGTTTCTTCCTTGTATTTGCCCTTCTCCTTGCCAACCTGGCGAGATTTGGCTTTGCGTTCCAAGATCTTTTTGCGATCTTTGTCCAGTTTTAGCCTAGTGATCACCACCTAGAGAAAGGACAAAGAATTTAGTGTCTCTTTGGTGTTAAAAGCACAGCACCCTGACCCAGCTGCAGCCCAGGAAGATTGCCACTGACAGGCTGCACCAAACCACCCCAGTTCTCTTTCCGTGGGCGATCTAATTTGGTTTGAGTAGAACAGAGGTACTGAATTGCCTTCTGGATTTCAGAACACTGAGCTATACCAATTTTTCTGGGTACACTCAGGGATCAGATTTTTTTGATCACGGAGAGATTTTTCAATGCACAGCTGCAACATTTGGACCCACTGAATAGCAGCCAATTTCTATCCATCTACATAATAAAATAATCCTTGGAAGTAAATCTAATTTCCGTTATGCTGCTCAAACACAATGGATTCTACATCCATCTGAAACGCGGCATGCAGCCGGGTCTTCCTCCTGCTACCACAAAGGCATGTAATGGATTATTATCTTAATTTCCCCACGTTTCAAGCAACGCTACCTAAATTTTAGAAGGCTGGAGAACCACGCTGCTGTGGCCAGTGCTTGTATCACCACGGCGCCAGTGGCGGAACTACGGGCACGGCGACAGCTCAGGCGCCGAGTGACCAGCACGGGCACCTCATCGCACCGACCTGCCGCCCGACAGTCCTGAGGCGGCCAGCAGAACCTCAAGCATTACCAACGTGGCCATACAGAAGGTAAATCCAGCGGCACGTCTGCTGCCCCAGCCTTAATGATATTTCTAACAAAGCAGCAGGAAACTGAAGCTCTGATTTTCATCCCGTAAGCAGCCTCCAGTACTGCCTGTGCCCCCTCCAGCTGGCAAAGAAATAAACGAGTTGGTGTTACTGAAAGGCGTACTTCAAAAATATGACAATCAAATCCTAGAGAAAACAGGGCTGTGGACCCCTCCTCAGTGCATTTAATTGTCATCAATTCCTACCTCTTTACCTAGGAGAAACTGTTCCTCCACCTCACTGCAAGTCTGCCACAAGCAAAATGTTCCTCTGTTCCTTTTCCATTAGTAACCACAATCTTTACACAAAGCTTTACCAGGATCCGATTCCCAATTAGAGAAAACTCACAGAAATAAAGGACCAGCACAAAATTCAAGTTCTTTTGCTGCTGTTTCCCACACAAATAGTAGGTACATCGGCCCCACTGCAATGTCACCTTGCTAGTCAGATGTTTTTACTGCACACAAGTCATTAGGTTGTTTTGGAATAATTCCGCTCTCCCTCTGCTGAACATACCAGCCATTTGGACCAGAAAACCTGCTACAACTGGATTTCTTCCACCAGCACTTCAGTGTTCATGCCTGCGTGGCAAGTCTGAAGGAGACCAATTTCGTCTGCTTCAAACCAGGTTTGGGCTATTTGTTCTCCTTAGTTTGAAATGCTTTCCTATTATGACCTAAACAGGCTTTGCCTGGTTTTCACAAACTCTAAATATTCTAAATCATTTCAGGCTAAAACCAGATTCAGAAGAACTCTGTTCACAAAAGCCCACAAGAACAAATCACGACTCTGCATCTACCTCATGAATCATCTACCTAATAAAAACATTTCTAACACCCCCTTAACCAGTGCAAATGCCACATGGCAAAGATGAATTACTCTAAATGATGCTTTGTGCTTTAAAAACACCAAGTTCTTAAATATTTTAGCACGACTTTGAAGTCTCTAGCAGCTCCTCCACCAAATGAGCCCTAGAAACACGTAGGATTTCCTGGTTTCAGTGGTCGCTTCCATCATGACGCTGTAGCACCTTCCTGTTCACTAGCACCCCCCAGTGCTGTGGTATCTCAACCTGCCATTCCACGTGCCAGAAGAAGGCTCTGCTCCCGCCAGCAGCAGCTCAGCCCTGGCTCTGGGCGCCGTACCTTGCTGGGGTGGATCCCCACGTGCACGGTGGTGCCGTTGGCCTTCTCGCGCTGGACACGCTCGATGTAGATGACGTATTTTTTCCGGTACACCTGCACCACCTTGCCGATCTGCTGGCCTTTGTAGTGCCCCCGGACGACCTACACGGGAACATAAGGGGCACACTGACTCAGAACCACTCTGTAAACAACTACCAGGTCTTAAGAAACACTATCGTAATTATCCAAACAGAACACCAGAGCTGCACAGGCTGAAATCCCAGTTCTGACCCTTGTGTAGACGTGTCACAAAGACATCAATTACAAGACAACTTCAGCCATCATTAGAAGAGAAAATATCACAATCAGAACCATAGTATTCCCTCATTTTCTCTGCAGTAAACCCTCATGAAAGAGCTCTCTATCTTTCTAACCAGAATACTGGTCAACTTCAACAATTTTTCATCATTTTTTCGCCTACTGTTGCATTTTATATTAAAAAAGCTACTTAACTTGGACTATTTTCTAAACCCATCTTTCAAATGCCACAGCCATTAAAGAAACAAGTTTTTTTGGTGTGTTTAATTATTAAAAGCCTTCAATCCAGCGTGATAATCTGCCCGTGTAGCTCAAGCACGGTGAAGCTGCAATCCCACTCGCATTCCTGGTTGTTTCCTCGTCACCGATGTGCTCTCCAGAAACACCCAAAAGGCCAAATTTAAGCTCCAGCACCAACCTGGAGCCCAGTCCAGCCCCCCCTTCTGCACAGGCTGTGCCTGGGCACCACAACAGGGACACAGACGCCCGGGGCACGGCGCAGCTACCTGGACTTCATCGTCCTTGCGGATGGGCATGGAGCGGACGTTGTACTTCTGCCGCAGCTCCTTGGAGAGCGGGGAGGACATGATCTTCCTGCGGACGTGGGACGGGGCGTTGAAGTGCCGCTTGCGGTTCTTGCTGCGGTCCGAGGTCACAAACGGGTTGAACTTCATCTTGGCTGCCTGCAGGAAAACAATGGTTGGAGATGCCGGTAATTCACACACGCCACTCTGCACCAGCTACCCACACATCGAATACTAGTGAGCGACTTTTAACCTCACCCCCAGTTCATATGCCCTTACAAGTTGGACCTCAACTGTTAAGCTTCTTTGATTGACAAAGACCCTGTGATTGACAGATCTGCTAGACACATAGCCACAAGCCCATCCTGTCCAATCTAAAGCTCGCTGTTCTCAGAAGTCAGGACGTCTGAGTGACGAGTCTTAATTTTGTGCTATAGTTCACAGAGTGTTTGCCTTCATAAGGCCAACTTGTGTTTTGCACTCGCAGCAACAGGGAGCTCACGCTGCTCAGGTACCTCCAACAAAGTCTAACCCCTGGCTCAGAGGCATGTAACAGATTTGTAAATCCAAGCTATCTCTGGCCTTCTCTAAATCTTAACAGCTACACCGCAGCTGTCACGGCACCGTCCACTCCTACTGACAAAGGCAGGTCCCTCGATGATGCTTTCGCTCAGGCACAGAACTGAGGTACCTCGCCCCTGCAGCTCCCGCGCAGGCCAGCCCGGGCTGCAAACCAGGCGACAGCC